GCTTTGCTCCATTTTTAAATCCTCATTTAGACTAGAAGATAAAGACTTTGTCTCTGACCTTCAGCAAAATAAAGATAGCCAGGAATCACTGGCCCACATAGGTCCAAACATATGGTGATCTCTTTTTCTCTTTAGTTTATTATTTTTTTTTTATTGTTTCTTCTTCTTATATAAGTGCTTTACTAGTTGTGTGACCTTGGAACGTTATTCAGTCTCCATGACTTATGTTTCTCATGAAGTTACTGTTAAGGATTAGTGAACTGACACACTTGCCTAGGACTCTGGAGTCTCATTTTTATTTTTTGAAGCTAGAATATTCTAGAGTGCCATGTCTCAGGTTATGTAAAAAACAAAACAAACAAAAAAAAAAGAAGTGATATGAGACTGTACAGAAATACAGTAGTTCCCCCTTATCTGAGACTGACATTTCAAGACCTCAACTGGAAACCTGAAACTGCAGATAGAGATATAGGGGAAAAAAACTTCCAACCTGAAGGATATCTCAGAGGAGTTCTTGTTCTCTAAAACCAAAGAATGAACTTTAAGAACAATGAAGGTTAAGTTGAGAATACACATAGTGGGGGGCAAGAAAGCTTCTGTTCAAGAGAGGGACAGAAGGGGACCCAAATGGGTTGCCAAGAACCCTGCCTTTTCTAGGGCTTTTCTAGAGCAAAATCATGGGATGAGGTGGGTCTAAGGTGGGAAACATGGGAACTCACAAGATGAGCATGAGGTGGGGCAAAACCATTGCTCACCAGTAAGATTATAAATGTAATTGCTCAGGTAAAATTGATTAAATCAAATGGGAAAGTGAATTTAGCAAGGGAACGTGGATACAGACCTGGGGCTCTTCCTGTAGAGGGTTGAGTTAGTGACTCTTCCTGGCTTTTTCAAGATGATTGATACCTATGTAGAATATCAATCCCTGATGTATGTAGGTGTATTTGTCTTGAGGTCTGGCTCACGTGGGAGTGCCTATCCTTCCCATAGTTGCAAGGTATCTTGTCTTGTGAGCTAGCTCCTTTTCAGGGCCCAGCCCTGTCTGACTGCCTATAATATTTCTATCTAACTCAGCTGCTTACAACAGCAGTTATAAACCATGTATATGATTTTATCTTATATACATACAGCTATGATGAAGTTTCATTTATAAGTTAGGCATAGTAAGAGATAAATAGAATAGGACAAATATAACACAATGTAATGAAAAATATGGGAATGGAGTTTCTCAAAATATGCTATAGATCTCAGTAACCTTAGCTTAAGGTTTTTTTTTAAAATGTATTTAATTTAGTACAGGGTCTACAGGGACTCACTGCACAGATCGGACTCATAGTGATCCTCCTGTTTTCAGCCTCCCAAGTGCTGGGATTACAGGCATGCGCTTCCATAACCTATCTCATTTGTTGTCTCAGCACACCCCAGGGTGGGGCCAGCACACACACCTCTTTAGCTGCTTCAGTTCACTGAGCTATCTAGCTGGCCCCATTTTAAGATTTTTGTTTTACTTAACAAAAAGTTTCACTTTTGAATTTAAGCACTTGATGGCTTTGCTGTCATAACCAAATTGTATCACTATGCTTGCAGTCTGGGTCACTAATTTGTGTGTGTGTGTGTGTGTGTGTGTGTGTGGCATTGGGGATCAAACTCAGGGCCTTACATGTACAAGGCAAGAGTTCTCCCACTGAGCCACATCCTCAGCTCTCTAGGGTCATTATTAAGGTGAGGGTTACCCAAAAGCAAGCACTATAGTACCTCAATAGTCAAGTGATCACTGGCACAGACACATGGGTAATATATACAACATGGAGGAGACAAAGGGCTGGGCATTGTAGGGGCAGGCAGGCAATAGGAGAAAATATGATCTCATTAGGCTTTATTAAAGAAATCAATAGGAAATCTTGCAATTAGAAAGACATAAAGACAGAGAAACCAGACCTGAGAAGTGCCAGGTAACACAATTGACGTAAGAATTTAGCAGGAAGAGTCCACAATCAAAATAGATATAGCCAGGAACACGGACGACCAGGGTAACCAGCATCTCCCTTTACTGGATAAGATATAAAGGAGATGGGCAGCCACCAAAGACTCTTCCACCAGAAACTCTTATTTAATATACGCACACCTACACATACTTAAATGTACATTCTCAGAAAATGCGCACATGTTCTTATTGTCTAAGGTGCCCTTCTGTGCGGCTGCCTCTCCCCACACTTACCTATCACAGAAGGGCAGGAAGGAATCAAATGCCCAGAAGAATGTAGATAGAAGTACTCAGGCTGGGGTCACAGCCAGCCCAAGAGCCAGATAATTCCAAGTTCTAGGTGCCCAATATGGGACAGGGACAGGGACACATCTTTATAAAAAGGAGCTAAGGACAAAAATCTACACAGATTGCTTCTCTTTTTGCTTCTAGCTGTGTATCTTCTCTGCCCTTTACCAATTAAACTGTCTTCATTTATTTTAAACTCTGCCTCTTAATTCTTTACTGGTGTGAGGTTTACACCCCAGTCATTGCATGTTCCAGCAGAGCAGCAGTGTGGTGTGGTGGATGCCCCTCCCCGAGTCCTGACAGGTGACTGAGTGGGAGGGCAGATTTCACACTACTCAGAATCACACGATTTAATTGTGAAGACTCTTTATTTGGGGATTTTATTAGTTTTGGACCCTGGTTGACCATGAATAGCTTAAATCAAGAAAAGTGAAACGAGTATTAAGGTGGAATACTATACTAAAAAGACCCAAATGCCTTTTGGCCTCCTACTCTCTGTCCAGAATATCGTGTTCTCCTCTTCTTGTTTTGCAGGGCCTTGCTTTCATTTAGCATAAGAGTCTGTCCAGAAAGGGGCTGGAAATAGTCAAACCTGCCATGAAGAACATAATGGGTGAAGCCTTCCTTAACAATATAGGTACTAATGTAGCCGGGAGCCTTCAACTCACGGGAATTAGAAGTAGAAAACCCTGGGCTGGGGAGCTAGCTTAGCGGCATTGGCGCCTGCCTGGCAAGTACAAGGTCCTGAGTTTGATCCTTGGTACCAAATAAATAACTAGAAGTAGAACACCCTTGAGGGGCTCTAAGAATCCCCTGCCTACTGCACGGCCACCTTTCAGGTTCCTTCTGAATGTGTGAAGTACACGATTGGCAGTGCAAGTCGCTGGGTCCAGGGGCTTCTCTTCACATCTCAAATACAGCAGACCCGCGGGTGAACAACATTGAAAGTGACTGCAAGTTTGCCTGTTTTTCTGCATTTTATGACTTTTTTTTGGTACTGGGGATTGAACTCAGGACCTTGCCCTTACCAGGGAGCACTTATGCCACTGAGCTATATCCCCAGTTTATGATTCACTTTTTAAACATTGCAAAAAAAAAAAAAATTATTGTTGACTGTAAGACCAAATGGATGTGAATTATCTGCGCATAGAGGAAAAGATTAAGGCCTATCACCTTGAAGTACTGTATTCATACTTTGTCCCAGTTTCTTATTGTCATGTATCTTCTTTAAAATCATGGTTTTAGCTGGGTGTGGTGGTACACAGCTATGTTCCCAGCACCTGGAAGGCTGAGGCAGGAGGATCACAGTGAGTTCCAGGCCAGCCTGGACTACAAAGTGAGTTCAAGGCAACCTAAACTGCATAGTGAAATGCTGTCTCAAAAACACAAAAAACAATTTTGTGTTTAGCTTTATATATTCAGATTCATCTGCTCACAGCTGACCAAATCGAAGGAGTCCATATATAGAAATCACCCAAAACATGCATATATCAGGAAAAGAAAAACGTGTAAATATTTTGATACTAATTTTTTTGCGACACCATGAGATTAATACAAATTACCTTTGGCTTCTATGATTATAGAAAGCGCTGGCCATTGGCGAATGGCTGAAATGTGTTATTTTTTGGGCAGATTTTATTTGGAAGGAAATAAAGGTTTACTGAGCTAGTTTCAAGGGGAAGGAAGAGCCTATTTGCCTCAAATCACCATCTCAACATTTACAGGTGGGCATAGGTCTTTTATAGGAAGGAACAGAGGAGAGGAGCCCAGAGACAGTGCTTTATCACATTGCTTGATCACTTCCTGCTCATCCTCCTGTAAAGAAACCTGGTTCCTGGCTTCCTGGAACTGGTATCTGCATCCTCTTAAACAGAGGAGCCGGTGTTAGCTATGTGCTCAGTGGGAAGAAGTTTGGAGAAACTGCGTATATCTAAAAACCAAAAAGCTAAAACTTCCATTTTTTGCAGCGTTCCATGTTACAGTTTCCAACTGGAGGGCCCTGAGCTGAATTCAATCTATATTTGAATTCATTTGGTCAGTAAAATAAAAAAAAATTGAATATTGAAAAATGTTTACATTTATTATATATATGTATATACATATATATATATTTTTTCACTTTCTTAAAAGTTGTGAAATGTGATGCTGGGCGGAAGACAACTGGCTCTGATAGCTGTTGCCTTTTTTGTTTCATTTTGTTGGTATTGGGGACTGTGTGTGTGTGTTTTGGCAGGGTCTCCTGTAGTCCAGGCTGGCCTCCAACCTGTGGTAATCCTCCTGAGGACTGAACCCAAAGGGGCTGCCCCTTCTGGGCAAGTGCTCCACCCAGGCTGGCAGGGATTGCAGGCCCACCAGACTGTTTCCTTAAGTGGTAAATTTCCTTTGTAAAATTTTCTTTTCTTTTTCTTCATTATTTTGGGGAACAGGGAGGGGCCGGCATGGCAACCTCGAACCCCCGGCCCCTGCACCTGCTTGCGGCGCTGTAATCCGCGGAGCTATTTGGTTTAAACGATTCATATACTTGGTACAGGGTCTTACTACATAGCTCAGACTCGTGGAGATCCTCCTGTTTGAGCCCAGGGCTGGGATTACAAGCGTGTGCCACCATGTCCGGTCTAAAGTGCTAAATTTTCTATTGGAGAAGCCTCAGCACTCACAGAATGCCTCCATGTCGCCACAACTAGGGGCATTTATGCCAGTTGATAGGTAATCTTCAATCTGAGACCTGCAGGATATGATTAGGTGAAACTGACTGGGAGGGTCAGTGTCCTCGCCTATGAGATGGGCTGATAACTCTCAGCTCCGAAAAGGCCTGCAGATCCAGTGTGCGGCCACACACCCGGCCAGAAGGCACGATCAGCCCCCACCCAGGGCCTGGGGGGCGCCGGGACCCGGCCCGGCCTCCCCTGCACCCTCCCGCGCCGGCCTCCGCACTCCGCGGAGTCAGCCCTCCGGGCCCCGAGAGGCGGGGCCGCTCGCATCGACCCTGCGGCGGCCATGGCCTCGGTGGTGGAGTACGAGGGCCTCAAGGCCGGCTACCGCTGCGGCTACTGCGGCTCCGGCGAGGGCAAGGCGTCCTGCGGTGAGTGTCCTGCGGCGCAGGCTGCGGCGTCCGCCTAGCAGCCGACCGTCGCAGGTGTCCGCCACGTTCCGGCCGAGCGGGCCCTGCCGCGGGTAAGGGCGGTTCGCGCCCCAACTCCGACTTCCCCTTTCCCAACCGTCTTTTCCTAGCTGGCTTCCCTCCCAGCGCCCTCCGCCCGCCTGCCCGCCCGCGTCACCCTCACTGACGGCGACCGCCCCTCAAGGAGAAGGAACTAGCGGAAAGCTGCCCTTGGCCAAGATGGCGCGCGCGGCGTCAGCCCCGAGACGCGCCGGGCTGGGCCCGGCCTGGGGACGCCCGAGCGGCTTCGCACGAGCCTCGGGGGCGTCCGCGCGCCGCGCTGCATTGTGGGGTGGCGGCGGCCGGGCGCGCTGGGGCTGGGCGGCCGAGCCTAGGCGGGGCTGGGACCATGGCTTCCTGGAGCGCGCTTTCGCCCAGCATCGTAGAGTATTTCGAGGGCGAAGACTTCTACCGCTGTGGCTACTGCAAGAACGAGTCGGGAAGCCGCTCCAATGGTGAGCGGGCGGCGGCGGCGGCCTCTGTGCGGTGGACGCGGCGGCCACCGCGCAGGGTGGCTCTAGGGCTGGGCCGAGCGCGGCTGCCCCGCAGTTGGTGGGTGCTCGGACCGGCGCCCGAGGGACCTCCTCTCGAGTCCGGAGTCAGAGGCCCTCGGGCGCCCGGGAGGGGAGCGCGCTGTGCGGCCAGCCCGGGCGGGTGCGGGTGCGGGTGCGGGTGCGGGTGCGGCCGAGCCCCGGCGCTGCGGGAGCGCGCACCGCGCGGTGCTGCGCGGTACAGCGTGCGTGCGGGGTGAGACAAGAGGCGCGGGTGACCCTGGCCGCCGGTCAGGCAGCCTGTCGGTGCTGATGTTTGACATTTTGCCGGGTCCTCAGGCAATGTCATTTCTCCAGCTGTCTCCACTCGAGGACACAGTCAGCCCACAGCTTTGTTTTTCCGTGACTCAGGTTTCTTTGCGAAGCACAGAAGTTTCCAGAGAAATTATCCGCGTTTGTTTTCTGCCGAGTCATGCATTGGCAAATGTGGAGTGTAGAATCCTTTCCTACTTTAGTGGAATGACCCAGCGCGGTGGAAAACAGGATGAGCGTAGAAATATAAATTAAGGCCCTCTTTCCAAGTGGGGAATGGCTTAGGCAGTTATGGCACACCCACTTATTCGTTGGACATGTTTGTTAGGTGCTTGGCCTGAAGTAGACAGTTACGGGCAACGGTCTGGAGCAGACGGTTACGCAATCATTTGAATGGACGGTAATGAATGCCCGCTAAATGGACAAATGAGTATGGCATTTACGTGGATGGTTAAACAGACACAAACAGGACGCAAAAGGCATTTGCCATGTGATTGCAGTGGAATGAAGCCTAGAAGCATGCCAAATAGTCGAGGCAGTGGTTGCCTTGGAGTGAAAGGGGTTCCATTCCCTCCCTTTTTTCATAGCTTTTGTATTGTAACCATGAAATCTCTATCAATGAGTTACATTAAACATGCCTAAAATGAACATTTTAATAGGCCTTTCATAGCCTTGTCCAATAATTTTAGTAAGAGAAAATTGCCCAGTGTGAAGTCAGTGTTTCAAGTTTTCAATGAGAAATCTGCCTTGAACATTTTCATTTAGGGAAATAAGTACGTGTCTGTCATTTCGATTTCTATTCTGATAGTCTATTTTTTTTCTTTTTTTTGCAGAACCAGGGATTGAACTCAGGGCCTTGCGCTTAGCAGGGAAGCGCTTATTCCACTGAGCTATCTCCCCGGCCCCCTCTGATAGTCTATTATAGGACACCGTCCCATTCATTAGTTGATCTGTTATTTCTATTACAGAGAGTGAAATTTGGGCTTATAGTTTGTTGGGATCAGTGAGTGCTTTCCAGGTGCATGGGCGTTTCTGTCGGACTCCACTGCCGTGCTTTCTCTCCATATATTCACTACTGCCAGGCCTATCTGTGTCTCTGCATATCTCTAATACAGTTTATTAACTACAAAAGGGGAAAATCCGTTTCCATTTTTAACATTGGTTCACGTATGATTTCACATTTGATTTCCCTGTAGTTAAATAATTTTTCCCTCATACAGTTCTTGTAGTCTTGTGTCCTAGACATTTGGGTCACTTTGTTTCTTACTTAGAAAAAATATCAAAGTGTAATTGTGTCCTACTGTTAATGTTCAGGTATATAATTATATATTTATAAGTGAGAACTAATATACACCAAAAATTTGCTTTCTAATTCTTCTGAAGAGGCCAGTGAATTAATGGGGTTATTATTAAAGCTTGAAGGTGAGATGCAGTCTGATTGCAATGAGAATCTAGATTTTTGATGTCGTAGACTGTGGACTAGTAATTAGATGTTGCTACTTTTATATATTTGATTTTTTAAATTAAAGTAAGTATATTTTATTTTCATTGGTGTCGTACTCTGAATTAGCAAATGTTAAATGTGGACAAGCTATTTCTAGAATGTCAGTGCTCTATAGCTTTAGCCTCAACACCGGTACTACTAAGACAGATACTTGGAAGTTTAAAACCGAAGCAAGTTCAACCTGTTGTCATTAACACACCACATTTTTTCAGGGATGTGGGCACATTCCATGACAGTGCAAGATTACCAGGATCTTATAGATCGAGGATGGCGAAGGTAATAAACATTCTTTAATTCAAAGATGTTTTCTGCTATTCAGGTTCTTAAAATTGAGAAATAGAGTTTGTGCTTAAGATGTTTTCCTGGTGGATGTGGTGGCACATACCTGTAATTCAGCTCTTGGGAGGCTGAGGCAGGAGGATCACTGTGAATTTGAAGTTAACTTGGGCTACATATTGAGTGCAAGGCCAGCCTGAACTACAGGACCCTACTCATCTTCCCCATTAAAAAAAAAACAAAAACAAAAAAAGTCAAGGCTGGTGAGGTAGCTCAGTGGACTGTGGACTAGGTGCCTGCTTAAGCAAGCACAGGGACCAGGGTTCGATCCTTGGTGTCACATGCTGTGCCAGCCCTACCCTGAGGCGCACTGATCCGGGTGTGGTGTTGCACACATGTAATCCCAGGACTGGGGAGGCTGAAAACAGGAGAATCACTAGAAGTCTGAGCTGTGGAGTGAGACCCTATACAAAATACATTAAATGGGCTGGAGAGATGGCTCAGTGGTCTAAAGCACCTACTTAGAACAAGCGTAGCAAAGCACAGGGACCACGGTTCGATCCCCCAGCACCGCATGCCAGCCAGCTGCGCCCCCTGGTGGGCCGAGCTGGCCGCGCACACACACACACACACACACACACACACAATAAATAAATTAAAAAAAAAATAAAAAAAAAATACATTAAATACATTAAAAAAAGAAGAATATTAGAAAAGTTAAATTTTTTTCTAAATTTAAGAATAAGGCTCAGAAAATCAGATGTTGAAGAATTTGGTATGCCATGATAAGGAAATTTTTATATTTTGTTTTTATGGTAGAAGGAAGCCATTGAAAGATTTATGAAAGTGCAATGTGATAGTATATGTTCTGGAAGAAATCATTCAGTTGGCAGAGAGGTATTTGAGAGGTGGTCATGGAAGCAGGAAGAGGAGTTCCACAGGTAGTCGAGCTATACAGATACAAAATGAGAAGCACTGGTGTCTCAGTGGCACTGATGATAGAGAGGAGGGGACAGATTTAAGATGCATTTTAGATGGAGAGAGTTGGCTGGCAGGATATAGAGGGAACAGTGTAAACTGACTGGTTTGAGAGGTAAGTAGCTCCTCATAACTGGGGTCGGGACTCTGAGGACTGTTCTGTGGTACAGTGCTTTGCTGGCACCCGTGCAGCTCCGAGTGTGGCTGTTGCAGCTCCAGTGCATGTGTGCATTGCTCCCACCGAATCATGCTCTCCTTCTTTCATGGGCCTTGAGGTACTGGGGATAGGTGACGGCTTTGAAGGGCTTGCACGTTTGGTGAGAAGACGTTGAGGTGATTAACCTGGTGATTTATCTAAAAAGTCTAGGAAAGAAAACGCTGGGTTCTGTTCTTTTGTATACCTACCTGCAAGATTATTTAGGCTGTGAAGAGCAGTTAAATATAAATGTGTTTTCACACTATTAGACTTTTATCATTAATTTAGTGATCCACTAATATGCTTTGGTACGTGTGTGAAGTCTGTAAGAAATTAACATACTATTTTTATAATTTTAGAAGTGGGAGATATGTATACAAGCCTGTCATGAATCAAACATGCTGTCCTCAATATACGATAAGGTAAGACTAAGTAATACAAAGAGGATCTGTAATATGAAGGTTATGTTCAAAAAAAATTTTTTTTTTAATGAATTTGTACAGGTTCTCACTACCCAGCTAGGACTTGTAGTGATCCACCTGTTTTCAGCCTCCCCAGCACTGGGAATACAGACATGCACATACAGACGTGCCTGGCCTGGTTATATACAGTTTTAAAGCAGAATCTTACACTTCTTTAGTGTTAATTTTTATTTTAGGTAGACATTCTTTATAAGAAAATGCAAATGAATTTTCTGTATACTGATGCTATATTCATATACTGATCAGTAGCTTTATTTTGCTTACTACGCAAAGAATACAAAATACAGTTAAATAATAGCTTTATTGTCCTTATTTAGTTTTCCTGGTTAAGAAGAGATGATAGCTGAGTTAACACACCTATATTATTCAAATGATGGAACTAAACAAAAAGGGATACAGATGAATGTCCATTTTATAGCTGTGTATTCAAAATGGTTAGGATAGATATATAGTTACATTTTCTTAATGAATAGAGGGATTTGTTCTAACAGTGTTTGTAAATAAGATATGTCTGCATCTTGTACAGCACATAACCACTAGGAAGAGAGTATGCAATGTGTTAATTATTGAAACTGTCATACCAATTTCATTTGAGACTATCTCATTGCTATTTGTTTCTCAATAAAATTATGGAAAAAAAAAACAGGAGATGATAGACTCTAAAACCAAAGTCAGGGGCTGGTGAGATGGCTCAGTGGTCTAAAGCACCTACTTAGAACAAGCTTAGCAAAGCACAGGGACCACGGTTCAATCCCCCAGCACCACATGCCAGCCAACCCCGCCCTGGTGGACTGAGCTGGCCACACACACACACACACACACACACACACATACAAATAAATAAATAAAAATTAAAAAAAAAATAAAACCAAAGTCATTTTCTTGTAATTAGCAATTTACTGGATCATGGGCAAGATTCTGCTCAAGTAAGCTTGTAGTGGGTTGGCTGGAACCTTAAAATTTTTATAATCAGAGAATGTTCATGCCTCAAATCCTGGCTAATTAGAAGGCTTAAACTGGAGATTAAAATTTTGCGGCTTGACTGGACCACTTACTGAGACCCTCTTTAAAAAATAAGTAGTTGAAGGCCTGGAGTTGTAGCTTAGAGGAAGTGCACTTGTCTGGCATTCACAAAGCCCTGGGGTTAATCCCTAACACTGAGTGGGGAGCCCATTGCAGTTGGTTAAGTAAAATACATTGTGTACCTATTATGCGTAAACTACTTTCCCAGGTATGTTGCTGTCTATGGGAAGAGATTCAACTAATGTTGCAGAATAGTAATTGTATGATGTAATTTTTATATTTCAGTGGAATCAAACATTTCCTGAATGTTACTCTTTAAATAGTTTCTCTATTAATCTTTTTTTTTTTTAATATTTATTTATTTGTTTGTTTATTTAGTGTGTGTGTGGCCAGCTCAGCCCACCAGGGGGCGAGCAGGCCTGCATGTGGTGCTTGGGGATTGAACCGCGGTCCCTGTGTTTTGCTTAGCTTAGCTTGTTCTAAGTAGGTGCTTTAGACCACTGAGCCATCTCACCAGCCCCTTTCTCTATTAATCTTATGGAATCATTTTCCATGTTTCTTCTGCTTATTCATTATAGTAGTTATAATAAGAACTTTTAAAGAAATGGCAGCAATATCTTACAACTTGACTTCTTGCTTGGCAAAAGTTTTCCCAGCACGTGAGTGAATATACTTTTCTGACTATGACTTTAAAAAATTAAAAAAAAAAAAATTAGAATTATACATGCCCAGGGCCAGCAAGATAGCTCAGCAGATTAAGTGCCTGCTTAGGCAAGTGCAGGAACTGAGGTCCTATTCCCAGAACCATATGCCCTGCTGGCCTGTCCCTGGGCGCGCTGAACTGGACACAGGGACTGGCATGGTAACACATGCCTGTAATCCCAGCACTGGGGAAGCTGAAAACAGGAGGATCACTGCAGGTCCGCTCTGCGTAGTGAAACCTATACCAAATACATGGGAAAAAAAAAAAAAATTATACGTGCTCATAAAATACCAAATCTGTAAAATTCATTTTGGAATTTAGATGTCTCTGAAATCCTTCACATTGGCAGTTACCTTCAGATCTTTTAAGTTTTCTTTCAATACTGGGGATTCAACCAGGGGCATTCTACTACTAAGCTATATCTTCAGCCCCCTTTGTAAAAATTTTATCTTGAGAAGAGATCTTGCTGAGTTGCCCAAGTTGGCCTTGAAGTTACAAATCTGTCTCAGTCTGTGTAGCTGTGATTACTGGCGTGTGCCACTGTGCCCAGCAACTCTCTTAACTAGTTCTTTTGATTTTGTTGCTTATCTTGAAGTAAGATGTTTATTTTTATTTTTTGTATTTTAAGGGAAAGTCTACGGGGTCGTCAGGGTTTTACTACTAGATCAGACTTGTAGTGATCCTCCCAAGAGCTGCGACTACAGCGTGTGCCACCACGCTCAGTCTCAATTGCCGTTTTTTTTTTTTTTTTTTTTTAGCATGCCCTGGGGGCAGGGCCGGCACAGCAAGCCCAGGGATTAACCCCCCCCCCACCTGCTTGCAGGAGCTTTAAAGATGTTTATACAACACTTATTTTTTCTCTTTTTAAAAATTAGTTAATTTTTTGGTTTTTTTGAGACAAAGAGTCTCTTTATATATTTCAGACTGGCCTTGAAATCATTGTGTAGCCTAGGCTGGCATTGAACTCAGTGATCTTTCTGTCTCAGCCTCTTAAGTGCTGGGGTTTTTCTTTTTTCTTTTTAATCCTTTATTTATTTGGTACAGGGTCTCACTATGCAACTCGGACTTACAGTGATCCTACTGTCTCAGTCTCCCCAGTGCTGGGGTTATGGGCATGTGCCACCACACCCAGTTTTGGTGGCTGGCACGGTGGGCCCGGGTTTCTGGGGCCAGGACAGCATCAATCCCCAGCAGTACTGGGGATGGAACCCTGGTCCTTGGGCTTGCCAGGCAGGCACTTAGATCACCAAGCTGTCTCCCCAGACCCTAAGTGCTGGGATTATAGGTGAGCACCACCATGCCTGGCTCTTTATAAGCAGCAGTGTACTAATGCTTATTTTCTTTACATAATTATAGAATTCTGGCAAAGACATTCATGGAGATTTCCATTGTTAATATATAGGTAAACAAAATATCACATATAAACTCTAGAAATCCAATAAAAAAAAAGAATAAACAAGAAAAAGCCTGGGGTTGCCCCTTGTTGAGTATCAGGGTTGGGCCTGGACCAAAAGTTCTGGGGCTTTTTGCTCTTGGGCATCAGTGTAAGTCCCTGAATTGGATCTTAACAGAGAAAGACCTGGAATACCTAAACACCTTTATGTATCCCATTGGTTCAGGGATTCCATTTACACAGTACTACTTTAAATTGCCATTTGCACAGGCCCAAGTAGCTTTGTGGAAAGGAATTAGTTTCTTCCTCTTTCTAGAAAATGGCTCACTGTCATTGATGGACCCATCTAGTGACAGTCAGCAGTATTGCCTGCAACTTCTTAGCTGGTGTGATTGAAGTGTCATTGTAGAGGAAGAAAGAGCTGCCTGTGGTACCCAGCAGTTCTGGTGTAGAAAATGGGGCAGAAGAGTCTGTACCAACTGGAGAGGGCATAGTGTGTGTGGGGCCTGTCTTATGCAGCATAGAGGATGGCCTTTTGGATGAAAAGACATGTGCAGAAGAGGTAAATTCTCATTCCAGTCCCAGCTACCCCTGTGAGTTGGCCTAGGATCAACATGCAGGATGTAAGTTGGCTGTGCTACTGAAGTCTGGCCATTGAGGTGGTTCTTAGATCTATCAAGGGCAGGATCTGCAAGGGCTGATTGGTCGCCCCTGCCTGTGCTCCTGGAGTACACCGCTGCCTCTTTGCTGACATGTGTAGTGTAACTTTTTATGTCCTCTTTCCTTTTGTCTTCCAGAGGTACAGGGGAAAAATGATTTACAACTATTTCACGAGGTAGGAGGTGGGTCAGTTGATTTGCAACTCCATGTAGATGGCAAACCCAGGTCCTGTATTGTAACACACATACCATCCAACTTGGGGGCTCAATTGCTTGTTACTACCGTGACTCAGCCTTCACACTCAGGGTTTCCACCAGTTCTGGTTGCCTTTAGACTCTGAAAAGCTTTTCTTCATTTTACTTTTCTCATCACCTCCGTACCAGACTCGTGGGATTTGACGTTAACAGTAGACTTTTATTTTATTTATTTTATTTTTTTTTGTGGAACTGGGTATTGAACTCAGGGCCTTGGGTTTGCCAGGGAAGCGCTTATTCCACTGAGCCATCCTCCCGGCCCCTAACAGTAGACTTTTAAAAAAAATTTTTGCCAGAGCCTCCTAAGTGATTGTACTGAAATAGGAGGGACAAACTGGAGTAAAGTCACTGTATGTCTTAGCTACATCCTTTTAGGTATGTATCTTGTCCCTCTCTTGGCTAGAATATTGTGCGGTTTCACTGTCTGACTTGGAATATTAGAGAGATATTTACTGTAAAACTCCAAGGCTGGCCATAAACCACTCATGCAGTTGGAGAAAGGGGTGGCGTTAAGTGTTGCAGATGGAGCCAGGCATGATGGTACATGCCTGTAGTCTCTGGGAGGAAGACTGGAAGTTTGAGCCCAGCCTGGACAATTTAGTGATAAGGTGAGACCTTCTCTAAAACAAACAAAAGTTTCAGTTGGCTCGTGGTGCTGTTGTTGGAGCTTGGGAGATGACTTCCTGAGAGAAGCTTACTGGCTCCTTGGAGCTAGTCATTGGGCTTTATGTACTGTCTTCACACCCACAGGTACCACAGGAGAGGGAAGCAGAGGGAGCCTCTTTGATGAGTCTAGAGCAGCAGTGATGATGCAGTGGAGCCTGTGTCAGGTCCTCATGGAAAGGGAGAGTAAGCTAGGATCCACCTTACTTACTGTCTCTTCTTGGAAGCAGAATGGAGGCTTTTGATGCCTTGCACTTAGATCTTCTGCCTTCTTTCTGCCAGCACAGACAACACTGGGTGGTTCTTCTAGTACACTTGTTAGATGGCAAATCTGAAGGGGAAGCCAATGAGATATTCTGGGATGTGGCAAGGGCAGACTGCCGCAGGGCTACAGAACATTGCTGAGGCTTGGAGGGTTAAGGGAAGGGCGGCTTGGCTAGAAGTGTGTCATACATCAGCCCCCGCCCCCCATGAATGGAAGCCCATGAGTTCTCAGTTTTTCTTGTAAGTTATGTTGTAAAAATTTCATGAGCTTACCCTCATCTGCAGCATACTTGGGGATCTTGAATTAGTGAAAGTTGTAGTATCTGACCTCCTTTCTACCCATCTCTTGAATGCAGACCCTGTGCTGCCCTGTGAGGCAATTTGAGTGATCTCCAGCACACACTAGAGGGTAGATTCATGGTGAAATCCATGACATTAGTGGTAGCAGTGACACTGAGATCCTTCTGCTTGTCCCACACAAGGGCTTTACAGCCTTTGGTCTGAAGTGCTTTCATAATGACAATCATATCATAGTTCCCATTTCTCAATGTTCTTTTCTTGTGGAGTGTCACAGACAGCCTGTGGAAAGTTTCTTGCAGTATTGCTTGCATGAAGGCTTTAGCGTCCTGAATGGCATGACTGGGGACACTGGGGTCGCCGAGTTCTCTGTACTGCTTCTTGCGATGGACTTGTGGGCATCTGCCTGGGGAAGCTCCAAGGATTCAGATTTGGTTGGCCTTGTCCCTTTTTTAAGACACATAATTCATATTTTTCACCTTAGCTTCCAGAGCCAGTGGGAAGTGCCCTGGTCTTCCCTCCTGTGTAATATGTACTTCCCAGGATTTCTGAGGTCTACGTTATTCTGGTGTCCGTGATTTATGCTGTGTCACTGGGGGGGGGGGGGAGATTAGAATCAAAAGGGGAAGGCCTCTTCTTGCTTCTCACAAGAAAATAACTTGTGGATTAGTTTCTTTTATCACTACTATTAAGTGTGAGATTTTTAAAAACTCAGCCTTTAAGATCTTAATAGCTTTTCCCTACTCTTTCTCCGATAGAGTCGGTCACATTGCTGTTTTCATTTTAATTCTTTCTGATTATGACATCAGTGAATCAAGAGAAAAGGCCTAGGTGATAGATAAAACACACAGCACAGTTCCACCAGCCATGAGATTGTAGGTGCAGCCCTACACCTCTGGGGCAGCCCTTCACCCTTTGGGTACAGTGGCAGTGAGGCAGGCATTGCACCTTGGGAAGCGCAGCCATCACCTCTCACCGTGGGCGCAGGCTTCCTGCCTCACGGGGGTGCTTGCGGTTGTGCTGCCTGTGAACGATTGCCTGGCCCTGCTGGCTCCTACATGGGCTGAGCATGCATTGGCATGTGCCTGTCCTTGCTCTTTTCCTTTTTAACCTCCTCCATTACTACTCAACTGTCTCACTCCTGTTTCCCCTGTCACATTCAGGCTCCTTTATAACCTCATCACGAACTTCTACCTTAGAAATACTATGATTTTTCTGTAGATGTATTCACAAACTATAAAGATTTACATTATGACCATGTAAATGTGCTTTACAGCTGAGCTGTGTCGTAGCCTATGATTTCTTGCACAAGTGTTTGCTTTACCTAGAAGTTAGTGATTATCTTGTTTGCTTTTATACTAGTCTGTATACCTAACTGCATTTATTTTGAAGTTCTCTCCGAGTTGTTTAGCTGCGTCAGCCTTATTTCTGATACTCCCAAGAGCCTTGTGATGATCTCTGGTATGGACATACTGTCCTTTATGGACATACTGTCCTCAATACTGTCATTCTTGGATCTCTTTTTATTTTCTTTGGGACTCTCTTTGGTTTTCAAGTTGGATATCATCTATCTTGGATTGTTCTCTTGTTCTAGAGAAGCACATTTTCTGATAGGCTCCTGAGAAAAACAGCATGAGACTTTGCCTGTCTTTTTTTCTTGTCTTCTCTCTTCTCCATTCCCCCTTCCCTGTCTGTCTGTCTGTCTGTCTGTCTGTCTGTCTGTCTCTTCTCTCCTTTTTTCTTCCCGTTTGACAGGGTTATGGCTGGCCTTGAACTCATTGTGTATCCCAGGCTGACCACAAACTCAAGGTGATCCTCAGCCTCTTCAGTGTTCAGATTTCAGGCTTGTGCCAGCCTGGCAAGACTTTGCAGTGTTGACACCCTATATCTGAAAATGTTTTAATTGACTGCAAAAATGTAGCTTTTAGTTTAGTTGGATATACAAGTATGAAGTTGGGAATAATTTCCCTCTAGAATTCTGGAGGCTAACCTCCATTGTTATTTTACTGCTGTTGATGAGTCAGGTGGCATTCTGATTCTTGTATCTTTGCCTGAAATATGTTCTTTCTCAGGACTAGGATCATAATTTTCTGTATTAGTCACTTGTCCATTGCTGGGACAAATAGCTGATACCCACAATTTAAAGGAGGAGAAGTTTGTTTTAGTTACAGTTTCAGAGGTGTCTCAGTCCATGGATACATGGCTGGCTGGCTCCACAGCTTAACCTGCATGGTGGAGCAGAGCTGCTCAACCCGTGGCAACTAGAAATCAGGAGGGACGAGCTAGTGGCAAGAGTGTACGCTCCAGGTCCGGCCTCCCGTGAGTGGCCTCGCCCCAGGCTCGACTCCGAAGAGCACATTCAGCTGTGACCATCAGTGGACCAGCTCACTGATGCGTGGTGGGCCTACGGTCTAGTCACCTTCCAGAAGCCTCACCTCTGAACACGGGAGGCTTTGGTGGGCATTTGAACTCCAGACCACTGTGTAGTTCTGGTAGAGGGCTTGCTTTCTTGTTCTGACACCTTTATTCCGATATTTGATCTTTTCAACTTATCCTCTGTTTTTCCTTTCAGTTTTTCTTCTCTTTACTGAATCTTGTGCAAAATATCTTTATTTTCTAAACCTTCCTTAAAGTAAGTTTAATTAAGAGCCTTAATTTTTTATATCATCTGTCAGTGTGTGTGTGTAGATAAATAAGATATTTTTTTCTGAGGAATTTTTAAAAAGCTCTCTTCCAAATTGCTTTCTTCAGTTTGACACTTGTTTGTAGACAGTTGGCCCCCTTCAAGTGTCTGGTAATTCCAACTCTGTTCAGTGTTCCACTGGAAATTCTGGGGACCCAACTGAGCCTTGTGTTCTGTGCGCTTTGGAGAGGCTGATCAAGCTGAGCTGCTCTGGTGGGGAATCTGACATCTGTGTTTTTAGGCTTCATATTTTAAAGAGCAAGTGTGATCTGCTGATGTTCTGGAGCTGGGCTGGGAACCTCAGCATTTAGAATGTAGATGTCACTTCTTCCTGTGCTTAGTATAGTGTTTTTGCCATGTAAGAGCCCTTATCTTTTGCTTTTTACTGAAAGGGGGATTGTGTAGCATCAGATGAAGAATGAAGTCTGCAATTGTAATTGCTTTGAATACAGGCATTCATTAAGGGGTTCCTTCTGTTTTTATACCTACTTTTGCTTAGCAGGTCTTACCAATCCCTAAGACTTTTAGGGTAAATATACAGAAATTTGTTACCTTACGGGCTTTTTCTGTTAACAAGATTCAACTTTCTTTGGTCAGCTTAGTCAGTTACTCCTGTACATCTGCTTTCCAGCTACAAACATTTTTCTCCTCTCCATTTTTCTATGGTTTATGTGATTTTACATATTAAAAAAAAATCTCTTAAAGGGTAATTTTATTCAAATTAGGAGTTGAAATTTAGAATAGATTAGGCTATAGTAAGCCTTACCTTTAACCAGGAATCTCAAGCAGGAGATGACTGTATTTTGTTAAAATTTTTTCGTTTACTTTTGAAATACTTACTTTGCTTTCCTAGGTGCCGGCCTTTACAGTTTCAACCATCAAAATCACACAAGAAAGTATTAAAAAAAATGTTGAAATTTTTGGCTAAAGGGGAGCTTTTCAGAAGAAATTATGAGGGTAAGATGAGATTGAGTATAAAAACTGTTCACTGTAAATGGATGTATCTTTCCAAGGTTCTCACTTTCAAATGTCTCATGTTAGGTGGGAAGAGGGGCCTGTACCACTCCTGTGGTGATGAGCATCACTAATAGCACTGACATTACTGTTATTGATGGCCCCACAAACCGGGATTATAGGAAATACTGTATATACCAGAATAGTCTAATTTGGAAAGAAAATTGAAGATCATTTTGTTTTTTAAATTAAAAAAAAATTTTTTTTTCCCCCGGGAACTGGGGATTGAACTCAGGACCTTGTGCTTGCCAGGCAAGTGCTTATTCTACTGAGCCATCTCCCTGGCCCCTTGAAGATCATTTTAAAGGTGTACTTTTTTGGAGTTTGCTATTAATATACAATTATTTTTGTGTCCAGGAGTCATAGCCTAATTAATGAATGAATATGCAGATAAACTTTGAGGATGCTGTAAATTGATGATTTTGTAAGCATCAAAATTTAGTTTTTTTTTCAGTTTTCTATCTTTTAATGTAGTTTTCATAGTTATTTGGCTTATTATGGATTTCTTTGATTTATGGGCTTCTGAATTGTTTGTATATGATACATAATTCATTAAGATAAAAGCTTAAACAGCTATAAGAAAGAACTACCGAGTCCAAGGACTGAACAGTATTAGTTCCTTTCTGTCCTCACTCAGCAGCCCGGGTGCGTGGTTCAGCTCAGTCTGCAGCTTTGCTCCCTTTGCTGCTGCCCTCAACATACTATTTTCAAGGTCACTATCTTTCTTGACATGGCCAGTGGGTAGGGGGAATGGTTGGAAGTTCTTTTTTTTTTTTTTTTTAAACTTTTTTTTTGTTTATTTATTTTTACATTTATTTACTCTGTGTGTGTGTGTGTGTGTGTGTGTGTGTGGCCAGCTCAGCCCACCAGGGGGTGGGGCTGGCTGGCATGTGGTGCTGGGGGATCGAACCGCGGACCCTGTGCTTTGCCAAGCTTGTTCCAAGTAGGTGCTTTAGACCACTGAGCCATCTCTCCAGCCCTGGTTGGAAGTTCTGGGTCACAGTTTTCTTTTAAATAAGTAAGACAGAATTAGACATATCAGTTTTCTTATGTTCCATGGTTGGGAGCTTGGTCTCAGTAGGCAAAGGGTCTGGCATTCTCCTGATAGGCTGCCACAGTTTTAAGTCTGGTTCCATTACTTTGAAAGGTGAGAAAAATGCTACACTGTAGTCCTTGCTGCAGTGGATAATGGGGCTTTCGGTAGTCTGATGGTTATCTTGACTGTGTCAAATGACCTGGCTGATGGGCTTTTTTTCTTCTGATTTATAGATGAGCCCATGGATTCTACAATGGAAGATGCAGTTGCAGGTGACTTTGCATTAATAAATAAATTGGATATAAAGTGCGATCTTAAAACACTCAGCAGTGATCTCAAGGAGAGCTTAGAGTGTGACAAGAAGAAGAAAGAAAAAAACTCAAAGAAGGAAGACTCTAAAGAATTAACTTATTCACAAGCCATAGAAGAGAAGTTGGGCTCTGGTGAACCATCACATTCAATCAAAGCTCATCTGCTTCCTAAGCCAGGTAGTGCACATTTGATAGCAAGTCATATTAGCTACTTTTCTTCTTACTTGTGTCATTGTAACCCTTGGTCTCTGCTGTCAGTCAAAAAGATGACTTATCTGTAACATGTCTAAGATAGAGTCCTGTTTTATACAAGATACTATTACCTGTTTTAGATAGACACATTAATATCTTTTTAAACTGTTTTAAAAACTTGAAATAATAGCTTTATCCTCAAATACTCTTTTTTTTTTTTTTTATTTTTGAGACAGGATCTTGTTATGTAGTTTAGGCTAGCTTTGAACTCACTGTGTAGCCCAGGCTGGCATCAAACTTGCTGCAGTCCTCTTTGCTTAGCCTCTAAAGTGCTGAGATTATGCAGGTGTGCACCACCACACCCAGACCCAAATATGTTCTAAGAGTTGCATCTCATCTTATTATCTGAGAGCCTTAGAAACTTGAGAATCGGGCTGGCCAAATAGTTCAGCAGATTAAAGTGCCTGCAAGCAGGCGCAGTGGTCAGGGGCTCAATCCCTGGGCCTGCCCTGCCAGCCCTGACCTTGGGGCTTGCTGATGGTAATTGAGACTGGGTGTAGTGGTGCGCGCCTGTAATCCCAGCTCTTGGGAGGCTGTAAACAGGCGGATCACTATGAGTCTGATCTAGTAGTGAGACCCTGAACACCCTGTACACCCTTCCCTAAAAAAATACGAAAAAAAAAGTTTGAGAGTCATGTTTTCGTCAGTGGATGGTTTGGTGATAAACATTGTTTTGGCATTATAAGACAGTATAAATTATAGATAATATGTCCAAAATATAATAATTATGAAATTCTTCAGTGTATCATTAAATTTTTATGTAATTATAAGTTTAAAACTATCTAGATTTTAATGTTTTTTTTTTTTTAACATTTATTTATTGTGTGTGTGTGTGTGTGTGTGTGTGTGGGGCCAGCTCAGCCCACCAGGGGGCGGGGCTGGCTGGCATGTGGTGCTGGGGGATCAAACCGTGGTCCCTGTACTTTGCTAAGCTTGTTCCAAGTAGGTGCTTTAGACCACTGAGCCATCTCTCCAGCCCCTAGATTTTAATGTTTAACTTCATTTTAGTAAGGTAAACAATTTTCCCACATGCTCCCTTATAAAAGAATTAAGCTTAAAAATATGCCCAACATTGTGAGTTTACCATGTGAAATGTATATTTAGGGCTGGCCAAATAGCTCAGCAGATTAAAGCGCCTGCAAGCAGGTGCAGGGGCTGGGGGCCAGGGGCTGTCGGCCCCGCCCCCGGGGCATGCTGAGACTGCGTTTGAGACTGGATGTGGTGGCATGTGCCTATAATCCCAGCTCTTGGGAGGCTGTAAACAGGCGGATCACTATGAGTCTGATCAAGTAGTGAGACCCTAAATACTCTGTAGACCTTTCCCTAAAATTTAAAAAAAAAAATGTGTATTTGTATGATTTTTGTTTTTAAAATTACTGCATAAAGTGTGAAGTTGGACAGTTTTTGCATTAATTTTTATGTTATTTGAGATGATTCAAAGGAGAGATTTTTAGTATTCAGTTTTTATTGTCTAAATTATATTACACAAGTTAAAGTGCAAAAAACTGTATTTCTATTAAGATTTTGCAGAACAATTTAATGGTATTTAAATTGATGTTAACCTGAGTTTTTTTCCTAATTAATATTAATACTTTAATGAAATACTATTATTTGAAGAATTTCTGCTTTTATACTCATGTGAGGGTTTTTTTTTATTCTTTTTTGTCTAAAACTTGGTTATGGTTTGTTAAATCAAAAACTTCTGTTGAAAAGAATTTGAAATAAAGGGGAGCTAGATTTAATAGTGTAATGAACTTCAGTTTACCTTGTCCTCATTTGAAACATTTAGTCATGATAGCCACTTTTGTTTCATCTGTATCTAAATCTAGTTCTTTCTGTAGTATATTTAAGCAATTTATTAACATTATGCCATCCTATATTTCAGAATTTATTTCTAAAAAATAAGAACTTTGAAAAAATGTATTTGCAACACCATTATTACACTAATAAAATTTCTTTTGGTGGCAGAGGGGAAAGACAGGGTCTTGCTGCTCGCTATGTCGCCTAGGCTGGCCTTGCTCATTACGTAGCTTAGGCTGTCCTTGGACTTATTGTTAGCCTCCAAGTGCTGGGATTACAAATGGCGGGCCACAATGCCTGGCCCGTAAAATTTCTTAATATTCAGTGTTCAAATTCCAGTTTTTTTTTTTTTAACATTTTCTTGCATCAAAATCTGGATAATTGGCCTATAGAATTGGTTCATATATTTAAGAAATCTTTTTGTTCAATACATTTTCTTTTTATTTTTCTCCATTTTTTACTTGTGTACTATTACTTGTTGAAGGAAATGACTTGTTTGTCTTGGTTTTTTCTTTTTTTTCCACTTTAAGATTTTTATTTATCAGTGATATTTTTGGTTTTAAAGTGTATTAAACATAAAATACAGGTTCTAATGTTATTATAATATTCTATTATTGTCAATGTTTCACAGTCAATGGCCTCTTAATTAAGTTTCTCTCAAAGTTGGTAAAGAAGAAATATCCTTAAATTTCAGAAAGTTTGTTTGCATTTATTTATTTTTTTAAACGTTTATTTATTTAGAGTGTGTGTGTGTGTGGGGGCAGCTCAGCCCACCAGGGGGCGGGGCTGGCTGGCATGTGGTGCTGGGGGATTGAACCGCGGTCCCTGTGCTTTGCCAAGCTTATTCCAAGTAGGTGCTTTAGACCACTGAGCCATCTCGCCAGCCCCGTTTGTTTGCATTTAAAAATATTTCAGTATTGAGGCTCTTTTTTTGTTGTTGCTTTTTTTTTGGTTTTTTCTTTTCATTTTTTTAATCATTTATTTATTTATTTATTTGGTAAGGGTCTCACTACACAGCTCAGACTTGTAGTGATCCTCCTGTCTCAGCCTTCCCAGTACTGGGATTTATAGGCATGTGCCATCATGCCCAGTTTTGGTGGCTGCTCTGTGTGGGACTGGCATGGGTACCAAGATCAAACCTAGGTCCCTGTGCTTACCAGGCAGGTGCTTAGATTGCTGAGCTATCTCCTTGGCCCATTGTCTTGGTTTTTGTCTTACTTCTGTAGCTGGCTGATTCCATCTTCAGTGCAGTTTAACCTGTTCTGCCGACCTGTAAATTGATTCTTGAATGTAGAGTCTTTGATCAGATTTGGGGCTAAATTTCCTTCCTTCCTTCCTTCCTTCCTTCCTTCCTTCCTTCCTTCCTTTTTTGAAGACGGTCAATCTTAATCAGGTTGCGAGATTTGAGGGTGGTTAAAGTTATCCCATGGGTAATTGAATATTCCTTCAGGAGATACACAACATCTGTGTGCCTCTCTTTCTTAGTGTTACTTTCTGTTTCTTTTTATTTTTTGGTACTAGGGATTGAACTCAGGACCTTATGCCACTGAGCTATCTCCCCAGCCATGTTAGTGCTAATAGTGCCTAAATCTGTTTATTATTTAAACATTCTAGGGCCGGGGAGATGGCTCAGTAGAATAAGCGCTTGCCTGGCAAGTGCAAGGCCCTGAGTTCAATCCCCAGTTCCGCAAAAAAAAAAAAAAGAAAGAAAAGAAAGAGCCTATTTCTCCCTTTGGGGCTGGTGAGATGGCTCAGTGGTCTAAAGCACCTACTTAGAACAAGCATAGCAAAGCACAGGGACTGCGGTTCAATCCCCCAGCACCACATGCCAGCCCGCCCCGCCCCCTGGTGGGCTGAGCTGCTCCCCCCCAACAAATAAATAAATAAATAAATAAAATTAAAAAAAATTAAATATTCTAGTTTTAGCATTTCATTCCTTTTTTTTTGTTTGGAATATTTTCATTAAAAAACTCATTAAAAACTCAAAGGAAAGGGAAGGCAAATTTTTGAATCTTTCTGTTCATTTTTTTTTTTTTTTTTTTTTTTTTTTTCTTTTTTAGAGGTGAATATATTTGGGGAAAGAAAGCTCCTGTTCAAGAGAGGGCCAGAAGGGAGAGCTGAGTGGGTTGTCCCCGAAGCTGTGTCTTGCAGGTTTTTTTATAAGTAAAACCATGTGGTGACATGGGTCTAAGGTGAAGCACATGGAAACTTGCTTATTAGGTGGGCATGAGGTGGGACAAAACTATGTTCAGCCAATGAGATTACAAGCACAATTGCTCAGGTAAAATTGATTAAATCCAGGACCGAATGCAAAAGTGAGTCACATGGCAAGTGGGCATGGCACAGGCATGACTATAGAACAGAGACTTTATCAACATTTGAAGCATGAAAATTTGTTACCTAAATGAGGCCCAATCTAGAGTCTATGAAGAAAAGCAAAGTGTTAACCTCTGTCCAATGATTTCGGTGGATGACCTCCAAATGATATTGTAGAATGAAATTTCCAACCTGAAAGATACCCGGGCCAAGTTGGTGTTCTCTAAAACTGAAGAATGAATTTTAGGAACAGTGGAGGTTAAGAGCAGAATATATTTATTGGGGGAAAGAAAGCTCCTGTCCTAGAGAGGGACAGGAGAGGAACCTTGCCCCTTGTTCATTGTTTTTCAAAATAACATATTTTATTAGCAATCAGTTAGGTTTTCTTGTTATCATTGTGAACTTGTGGATATAAACATACTTTTTGTTGCATTCTGTTCGTATGACAGCTTCTTTAGGTTGGCTTCTGTATCTTTCTAATGTAGCTCTAGTAGTCTTGGTGAACTTCCTTGCTATCATGTGACATGATGGACATGGGTCTTCTTGTGCCTACATTTTCTCACCTAGCCCTGGTTCCAAATGATATTTGGAGATCAGAGAGTAGACGTTATTACTGCTGGCTTGATCATTGTTTTCTAGGGTTTTTTAGTGACTAGGTCATGACTTCATATTGATACTACTTTTCAAATTCAGAACAATAGTATTTTTGTTTTTTATTTTTTCTTCTATGGAGAAACCTGATTCTCAAGGACATAAACCTTTTAGAGCTTTCAGGGATCACAGACAGCCCACTGAGGCATGCATGCCATAAGTTCTCCTCCCCTGAATAGGGAATAGTAGAAGTAGACTGGTATATCCCCCAGCTAGTGGTTCCTTATCTCACATCACATAACGATTGTAGAGTAACAATAACCTGACCTTCAACAATATGATTACTGAAGTATGCATTAAATACCTTTTGTGTGGTTTTCTTTTCTTTTTTTTTTTTAATTAGGCTATTTTTCATTAAGAATATGAGACTGTTTTAAACCAGATGTCTTTGGATCTTCTTTGGAACCTGCTTTTCCATTTTTTAAAAAAAAATTTGTGTGTGTGTGTGTGTGTGTGTGTGTGTGGCCAGCTCAGCCC